AAAAGCACTAACTGTCCTTCCAGAGGACCTGAGTTTGGTTCCCAGCACCCACATGGTGGTTCACAACCATCTGTGACTCCAGTTCCAAGGGATTGCATGCTCTATTCTGATGTCCATGGGAACAGACATATATGCAGACAAACGCTCATTCACACAACATCTTTTTTTTAAAAAAAATCGCACAGAATCTTTTTTAAAAAATAGAGACTTTCTAACTATAGACAGTCTTCAACTGCTCTTACAACTCTACATGCCTTACAGGTGAGGTCACATTTTCTGAGGAAAGAAAAGTACCAGACATTTGTATGTATACACATTCACTCCCAAACAGGGCTGAGACTCTAGCTTATATGAGGTCTCCATGACAGAATCTGTAGCTCACTCACGGAGTAGCATGGAGGTCCAGGTGGGTTAGGATTTCTGACAGGGAGGCTGCAGTCAGGAGAACAAGGTAGTGGATAAGATTTGTGGTAGAGATTAGACCCAGGGCTGTGGGCGCCTACACCCACCCATGGCTTCCACTTCCATCCTGGCAGCTTGCCCGTTCTATTCCATAGTAATGATGAATATCAATAACTATTTATTGAGCTGTTCTGAATTTTTCCTTTTTTTTCTTTTCTTGGATATTTTCTTTATTTACATTTCAAATGTTATCCCCTTTCCCGCTCCCCAAACCCCCATCTCATCCCCCTCCCCCTGCTTCTATGAGGGTGTTCTACCACCCAACCACCCACCCATTCTTTGTCCCTGCTCTCACATTCCCCTACACTGGGGCATTCAGCCTTCACAGGACCAAGGGGCTCTGAATTTTTCTACATAATGTGCACACACATTATTTTGTTATAGTCACAACAGCCCTAGAAGGTACAGATGCCGAGTCACAAACACTTCCCAAAGTGTTGTGAAACCAGCCTTATTTTACAAGCAGAAATGCTAAGACACAAAGAATTTTAGTTGGCTTATGTGAACATGACTAAAAGGTAGTAGAGCAATGGCTGAGATCTATTGTTCTTGGCCTCTAGGATGCCAGAGCTGGAAGCTATTGAGCAGTACTGATTTAAAACCTGTGGCTACTCTAAACTGGTGAGAACCATATTGGTGGTATAAAACGAGGTTGTAAGCCCAGAGAAAGAACAATGAAAATTGAGCCTCACCTCTGATAAAGAGAGGACATGAAAAATGGCTACTAAAAGAACAAATATTTCCATCGTGTATCGTTACAAATGACACTAAAAGAGCAAGTGATACATCTTGTATCATTACAAATGACACAGGAGCCTGTCCTGGTGTCAAGGAAGCAGTGAGTGCAATCTGAAGTGCTCTGAAGGTCTCAAACCAGTGCTGACAGTGACTCATCTGAATTGCTCATTCCTTTTCTGGGATTTGGATAAGCCAGTCAGCCATTCTGGGAGAGAATCCATAATATTTACTGAGTACTTTTCATGAAATACACCTTCTGGAGCCTTAAAGTCCCAGAATGTAAATGCAGAATAAATATTGCCTTGACTTAATATACACAGGCTTGAGTTCACAAGAAGAAAAGTGTCCTGTAAATTCCACATAATCAACTGATGGGAATATTGAAAGGAGAAGGATGGGAAGTCATTTGAGGAATGCTACAACAGCCACTTCCAAATCCTATTTTAGGAATATGAGACTCATAGAATTAAAGACTATAGGGGCAACTGCTGCTCTGTGACCAGTCTTGTTCAGCTGCTCTCAGTCTCCGGGGATTCTCCTTGAGTCCTAACAGAGTTGAAGTGGAGAGTGAGCCTCTCCCTTGTGTCCATATGGTTTCTACCCACAATCCTTCGTAGCCTCTGACACATCCAGGCAGGAAAGGGAACATACATATTTGCATAAGATACAAGGCTGTGTAAACAAACTCTTACCCGGTTAGAGGGCACCACTTTATAAACTGCCCTTATTATTTTAATGGGCTCTACACACCTAAAAGTCTGTTTTACATTCTTTAAAAAGTCCTTCTCTCTTATTGCCCTTGGGTGCTTTCCACTAATATTGTCTTTTTCTGTGTAACTCCGACTTCTCCAAATGAACTTCCATATCATTCAAAAAGATTACTCACGTATAAGTTTTAAAACTAACAAATGTAAATTTTCCCAGGAGTCCATAAATTGGCAACTAGCTAATAATTCCTATTCCTATTAATGGGTTAAAATGGGATCTATTTGAACTGTACTTTTGTGAGTGTATTTCCATCATGAATATGAATCTCCAGCTTAGAAATGTTAACTTTCAATACTTTTTAGGTCACACCAGATTTTCCTATTTATGATATTACAGAGGCTAGTGAAAAATGGACTCAACTACTGGCAAGAAGTTGAATCACAGAGGGAGGAAAAAGATGCTTATTATTCAGTGAGTCAACAAAGAATGTGTCCTGACTGCTCATTATACCCTTCAAAAATGCAGTGTTAGCTTAGAGACAAGCAAAAATGCAGAAAAGAAAAACACTGAGGACAGGACTTCCTATTCATATACTGTTTCTTTAATAAGATCACTAATGTCTTACTGAGAGCCAAAGACTCAGAAGTCCTTATGATTACAACATCAAAACTTAAAATAATAATAATAATACTAATACCAACTGGGTTATTGTCAATAACTGGTTATTGTCACTTCAAATAACTGACTTAAAAATACATCTGAAAGTCATTGGGCATTTTTCTACTTTGTTCTTCGTTTTCAAACACTAGATGATTGGTGTTGACTTTTAGCTTGTTCTGTTCTCTATGCCACATCCACACCAACTCAGAGGCATTTATTTACTTAGCTAACTTCATTATCAAGGCTGCCAACGAGGATCCGGGATGGCAGCAATGCAGGTTTGTAAAAGGGATAAACATCACTCAGAAATGAGCTCATGTGTACAGTATCCTTCTGAGTGCAGGGAAAGATCATATCATTTCCACTTTATAGTGTGGAAACTGAAGGAATAAAAAAAACACATTTAATATTTCTTGAATATACTGGGGGAGACACAGCACTAGGCCATTTAGAATAATCTGATTATTTAGAAACACACCGGTTAATACCCCTCAAACGATCATAACCTAATGCACGTAAAACTGCACTAATAAAAACACAGAGTACAGTGGAAGAGCAGGAAGGAGGGTGGCTTGGGCGCTCTCTGCAAGGTTTAGAACTGTTTTGTGGGGATGGAATCTAAGCCAAGTCTTAATGGCTTATGGGTGTGGGGCAAAGATTACAGAATAACAGAGGAGATAGAAGAGCAAAGATAAAGAAAGGACATAGTGTGAGAATTTCTTTCTTGTTGTCGCATAGAACTTGAGGGCAGCGGGAGGTGGAAGGTGGAGAGGAGGAATTCAGAGGGTTTGCAAATTGAATGTTTATCTGTGGCTGTGTAGAGAAGACTAGGGTGGAGTGTACTCACTTAGGCTGTTGCCACAGTTCAGCAAAGAGATGAGAGCTGCAACTACACAAAAGTGGACTAGAAAGGCAACAGTCTGAAAGATAGTAGAGATATGGATCTGGGTGGTTTAGCCACTGATTGGACCCTAGGAAAGAAGAGGGTGAGTAAACACAGGTCTGAAGCATTAAATAATTTGGAGTTTCTCTTGGACCACACAAAAAGGGAATTGAATGATCAGGACAGATATAAATCTACAAATCAATCGGAGAAGCATGGTGGCTGAATCGGTGGCAGAAATCACGAAAGAATAACCCTTAGAGTACAAAGCGTTGAAACAAAACCTCCTGTTTTTGAAAGAGGAGTGAAGGAAGAAAGGTTATTTTGTAACCTGGATGGTCAGAGAGATAAGACTTAAGTGGTGAGGCATTAAAAGCAAGAGGTTTCGGGCAGCTCGATACAGCTGAACGAACAGATGCGAAATTTACTGTGACCACAGAGGTCAGATCCAAGCTCCTCAACTCTGCAGCCACCTGCTGAAGTAGCATAAAAGAAAGAAATGTGCTTTTGCAAGAGAAACCCACTTGTCATTTTACCAACAGTTAGCCTGCCAATCAGCCATTGCAACTCATTACAACATCTAGTCCTCACTAAATTAAAAAAAAAATCACTTTTGCATTGTACACTTCTTTCCTTCATGGGCTTTTAAGATAACTATTATTAATCACGTCCTTAGCTTTGGTTACCCCCTTCATTTTGAGGGTCCTGCTTAGTTGCTGGGACTACGGAACTTGAGGTGTAATCCAGGAGAGAGAATAGTGTTTGCTAACTTCCTCAAGCCTTTGTGCAAAAGTTCAAGCGATGTGTGCAAAAGTAGAAGGATGATATATACATATTAGACTTGAGTATATGCGCTAATGAAAGCAAACCTCTCACATGGTTCAGTCGTCAAAGGTTCGAGTTTTTGCTGATCATTTTGCTGATGTTCATTTGCTTGCTTTTGTTTTGTTTTTGTCACTTCCTCGAGGGCAGAAGAATATTTCCACTGCTCCCCAAGGCATTTGGTACCGACTTGGGGACAAGTCTCATTCTGTCAGCTCTTAGGAAAAACATCTTTAGGAAGAGAGTGACAAAGAACTTACGAGTCGAGTCCCAAGGACTGGGCAGCTCACTGACGAGGTAGGGTTGGCCAAAGGTCCTGCGAAACGCAGAACGCCTGGAACCTGCGTGGCCTTTACAGGATGGGACTACAAGTCCCAGAACGCTGGGCGCTACTAGGCAGAAATTTAGTAAGGCGCCTGCGCGTAAGGCTGTAGTCAAGCCAGAGGAAGCAGTGCACTTTGGGACTAGTAGTCCCCAGGTGGCAACTCCTGGGGTCGGAGGTGGGTCGAAGGGACAGCTCCCTGCCCAGTCCCGCCTTTTGTCCACGTCCCGCTTCTCTTGGCCAATGCCCGGTCCTGTAGCTGCAGCCAGCCCCTCTCCGAGGCTGTCTCCATTGGTCCCGAGGCTATACCACTTCGACTCTACCCGGAAGTAGCCTTGGGGAGGCGGTTTCCTAGACTACGACACCGGAAAGCTGGGGGCGGTGCTCCGAGCCGTGGAGGGCGGAGGGTGGTGGCAGCGCTGGCGCTGGGGACCGGCTCGGTGGCTTCGGCAAACAGTTTGGCGCCGGCGGCCGCCAGCCTCACTCCACAGCCCGCCCTCGACACGGCTCGCAGCCTCCTCGCCGCCGGCAGCCCGCAATGTGGCCCACCGTGCGGGTGTAGCAGCTGCGCGTGCGCGGAACCGCGGGGCCATGAGCGAAGCCGGCGCCCGCCAGGGCTGTGGGTGCCGGGTCCCCCAGCGAGCGTCATGGAGCCTGGTGGCAGTGACGGCCGCACTCTGTCTGATGGTGGCCACGTCCGTGTGCACGGCAGGGGCCGCGCCCATGAGTAGGGAAGAGAAGCAGAAGCTTGGGTAAGGGTGCGTGGCTGTCCGGGTGGGTTTCCTAGCGAGGCTGCCAGCAGTGGAGGTGCCTGTCATTGCGCCCCCGTGCACAGTGGACTTTTTCTGTGGTGACTGTAACAGCTGGTGAGGCTGGAGGACCTCGGTGCGGTGGACAGGGTCCAGGAGGATGGGAGCTGATCCCCGGGACGTGACCTCGGGGACTGTCGAGTGTCTCCTGGGCAGCCTGTGACATATGTGGTGTTGTGTCAGCGCCTCTGCCATGTCAGGGGTTGGTGGAGGGGCTACCGCCTGGGTAGCGGAGCTATTGGGACGCCTTTTGACGGAGGCAGGTTTAGAGGTTTCGCCCAAGTCAGCTCCTAGCGGGAAAATGTTGCGATGTTTACACCTGTTAAAGGAAAAGGGGCGTTCACTGGAACTTGAACTTTTCTGACTTCACTCTCCCCCTTGCTGTGTTTTCTTTCCTGCACGACATTTGTGAAATGGAGCAGGCGATTTAATGTTATTCAGAGGCCTTGATTAAGTGTATCCCTTTAGAGTAGTTTTATGAGTCTTAAAAGTGTTCCAAAGCACTATTTATAGCATTTAATCCAGTAATACTAATACATCCGAAGTGGCACAAATGACTAAGAACGAAGTGGAGAATCTCTGGAAATTGGTAAAACCGTGAAGTTAAGTGAGAGAAGAGGAAATGCGTGCCTGTCAGTAGCACGGAGCGTTCATTGTGAGAGATGCTTATTAAAACAGTGAGGTGGGTGGGTTTTGCTTGTCTGTTAGCAAGCACAGAATGCAGCACTGGCTAGTGAAGATGTGAGAAAACTGGGTGGGAATGTAAACCGCGTGACTTATTGACACCAATTCTGGAATTTTAAATTGTGCTTGTCCTTTGATTCATTTCTTGTTCTGGGGAATTTGTCCTACAGAAATAAGACACTGTTAGAGATAAGTGTATAAAGGGGTGTATTTTGAAAGAATAGAACGAACGGGCTCTGGGATGCTCATACATTTAGAAGAGATCCTTGGTCTCATTAAGGCTGGACCCCCCAGTGGGTGGGAATTTGAGGGTGGGGAGGTGGGAGTTGGGGGGGTAGGTAGGGGTACATCTGAAGAGAAGCAGAGGGAGGGGTGAGGATAACATGAAATGTAAATAAAACATCCAATAAAAAGAAAGAGTTCTGTACTAAAGCACGTTATAGGGTGATATATAAATAGAAAACATAGCATTTTATAAGAAAAAAAAGTTGCCTGAACTCAGGAAAAAAATAAAAGGTAACTTATCCCACAATGTTAAAATGAAAGTGGAGCCATTCGGTTCTAATATAGATACTTCTTTATTTCAGTCATTGCAGAAGAATTGTACACATTTTTAAATAAAAGAGCAAGTAACATTTGCAGAAAAGAAGATGAAGTGTCAGCTATTCAAACAAAATTACCAGTGAATTCTAGTATCTTCCCTTTTTTTCCTTTATAAGTTTAATGTATTATTTTGCGACATTTTAATGGTGTGCCCACTCTGTTGCCATTTAACTCATGCCATCTCTAAAACTGTTATTTCATCACGAGGTGGATGCTGTCTCCATTGTGCAAGTGAAGAAATTGAGATTCAAGGTTAACTGGCTCAGAGTCTCAAAGCAGTAATTGGAGTCAGGTTTATTGTTTTTTGTTACATTTGTATTTTTTGACCTATGTCTGATCTCACAGCTCACACCCTGCATAGTGCTGTATTCCCTTAAGATTTTGGGGAAGGGGAAGTTACATTTGTATTATGGTTGCAAATATTTTATTTGACTTTCTTATTAAAATTTTTATGAGTCATTGGCCTGTCAGCCCTAGGTTCAGTCTCAAAAAACCAAGCTGTACTCCCCCTCCCCAGTAATTGTGAACACTTTCTCAGTTGCTTGTACTTGAATATCTGATCATATGTAGTCTTTCACGGAAAATTCTTTTTAGGACAAGTGATCTTGCTAATCTTTTTAGTTAACAGAATATAAATCAGTGCGGTCAGTATTGATGCTGCGAGGCAGTGTGACTTTAGAAAACCATTTTTAGAAATTATTTAGGAATGGAAAACATTTTTAAATGGGAGGGGCAGATTTCCAATATGTCTTATACAGTTGCTGAGTTGATATAAAGATTTTTAGCAGTTGAACACAGTCACTGTGCCATTCTGTTTGAAGTTGATGTCATGGGACTTGTTGGTTGTTGCAAGATGAAAGTGTACCCTTGACTGCAATCATAATTTACTCATAATTTGGAAAATTGACAGCTCTGAAAGTTGAGTTAGCAAGTTAGAGGTTTTGAAGTCTGTGATCCACCATTAGGCTTTAGCATTCCCAGAGCCAGGAGATTCCCCTCTTGATATTAAGCAATCATTCTACTTTGGGGAAGGAAAAGTTAGCATATCCTATTTTTACGTTAGTGCTTGCAGGTTTTGTGGGGCCTTGACTTCGAAGCTGTTTGAGAGATTTTTATCATTTGCAAGATGAGGAATTCTCTAAGATAATGCTTAATTTTCTGAAATTCCCTGGATATGTATAAATGTACAATATTTTAACACAATAGTAGGAAGAGTTTTAAAAATTCCATTTGCCGGTGTGCAAGTGTGCTATGATGTGGAGTCACAGAACAACATACAGGAATCGGTTCTCTCCTTCCACCATGTGGGTTCTTGGGATCAAACTCAGATTGGCAGGTTCTGTGGCAAGTGCCTTTACCCAACGAACCATTTTGCCAGCCAAGGTCTTGTTTTTAATGGCTAAGTGTTTTAAAATAGTCATAAAAGTTGCCAGGACTTATTTAGGTCACCAAAATGACGTGTACTCGACCTTGCTGGTCATTACAGCCAGGGTCTGGATATTACATCTTTTCTGCCTGTAAGCTTTATTGTTATCAGCATTTCATCTCCCATTGTTCTGAAAATGACAGTATAGTATAATAGGAAGGGAAAATATAGCCAGTCATTTTCTTTACTACTTTTTCTATTCCTGGTTTTAGTATCTGGGACTTTGGGAAGAGAGGTGTTAGTAAAAGACTTGTTTGGCTGTTTTCCTTTGCTGCTTACTGGATTTGGCCCTGCCTGGCTCTCACATTAGCTTTTGTAATAACACTCAAGCCCTGGTTATGAGAATGCTTCATTGTAAGACTTATTTCTTAGTTTCTGAGACTTCTGGGGTTTGATCTGTAAACCTGGTTTGGGTACCTGAAACCTCCATTTCAAACAGCTGTATTGGAAGTTGATACAAGTCTGTCTCTCCTTTCCCCCTCTCTTCTCTGCTTCCTCTTTAAGCATCTGCCTTGGCTGATCTTAAACGTGTGATCTTCCAGCCCTAGCCTCTTGAAAGCTAGAAGTCTCCCTTCTGACTCCCTTCTAAGCATTAGAGCTTTTACTTTTGAAGTGAATTCTATTTTTTGAGAGTGTTTTTAAGAGAGCAGAGTACATTAGGAAGTGTATCTTTTGGAAAGGAGACAAACATAGTATGCATTTAACTAGGCATTAGTGGTTTTACTCAGTTTAATGGGCAAGGCAGAGTCTTGAGAAAATGTTTTTATTTCATAGTAGTATACACCCCTACAACTGCCCTTAGTAGAATGTATAGAATAAGCAATAAATGGTGCTAGTAACTGTTGCTTTGAGGAGTTGTCTAGAAACATCCCATTCCAAGGGTAAGTTACATAATTATGTTAATAGTGGTAGTGGTTTTTTTCAAGACCTGCTTTCCTTCTCTGCCATTCTGACATGGATCATTCAATAGTTTTCTTAGGAAAAAAAAAAAAACCCAAAAGTTTTATATAAATTGCCAGGACTAGGAATAGTAAAATCTTGGCCCAGCTCCTTGTGGTGAGGTAAGAAAGGCTTCTCTATTCACTCTGTGCTATCCTAGCTTGTTTAATGTTTTTATTAGTGTGCTTTTATGAGGGAGAATTATGTTCCTGAAGTACAGTAGATAGAATATACTTAACTTTTCTCCCTCTCTGTTTTTTCACAATTAGAAATCAAGTCTTGGAAATGTTTGATCATGCTTATGGCAACTATATGGTAAGTATGATGCTCATCTGTGCATACCGTTCATAGGAGCTCACTACACACAGTTAGCTGGGAAGTTTTGAAACTTGAATTACTAATGTATATTTTTAAAGAAAGCTTTAAAAAAAAATGCAGGACAAATATAAGCTAGCAGAGCATTCCTGTTAGTGATTCTTAGGGAATCAATTTATTGAATAGGTAAGAAATTGGAAGCAGATCATGAAACTTTGTATGTAAGCAGTGTACTTAGGTTCTGCCAGCAGTTGACAGTGTACATAGGTGGAAAGGAAGAAAGATGTTGTCTCTGGCTTCAAGGGTTGTCCTTTATGAAAACTACAACATTACTTTACAGACTTATGGAGCAAACCATTGCATTAAGTATATTGCCTGCTTTCTGTCCAGATGTTATGATGTGAACTCTGAAGTATGTATTTTTTCTGTCTGCTGAGCCAGTGTTTGAACGTATTTCAGAGCTTCTGTGTGATGCAGTAGCAGCTTCCACTGTTCAGGATGGAAAGTTTTAGGGCTCTGGAGCACAGAAAGTGAGGTAACATAGCAAGCAAATTCTAAGAGTTCAAAAGGAAGTTTTGCGTAAAAATTTCTATAATTTTGTAAAGAGTTTAATCAAGTTATTCTGAGAATTTCTTCTCATTTCCTTGTTTTTACATTTAAAATATGCCAGGAGATTTCTCTTATGATTATAGCCTAAAAGTATAGTTAGCATAATTTGACAGAGAGCTAACTCTAATTCTTTTAAGATACCTTTCACCCAATTTAGTAAATCTATTTTCACTTATATAGGACAGATATCATTATATATCAATATCATTAGTCCCTTTATATATTTTTGTATTTTCTTTTTTTTTTTTAAATTTATATGTCTGTGAGTATATGCTATGTGTGTGAGTGCTGACAGAGGCCAGAAGAAAGTATCCAGTGGCTAGGAGTGACAGGAGGGTGGGAGCCACCCAGAGTGCATGCTAGGAATCAGAATCAGGTCTTCTGGAGAGCAGTGAATTCTCCTAGCCACCCATTACCTCTCAGGCCCTGTTTTATATTTTACACATGGTTTATATTTGATAGCCTTGTTCTCTTTTATCATCACTTGGTTAGAGTGAGGTTTGACTTTCGGTAAGTTTTCTAGAATCTGATTGTTATGAAGCTTTGGTGTAAACACTGAAAACATGGTTTTAAACTTACTACTCAGTGTAACTATAACTACTCCTTTACTATTTCTTTCAGAATCATTTACTCCTCATTAATTTTGTTTAGGGGAAGTGTAATTTAACAAGTCTAGGCTAGTTACAGTATACAAATAGCCAAACCCCTAACAAGACCCTCAAGTTGTAACCAGCTCATACAAGTAAACTTTTGATTGCAAAGCTGAGTAAAATAGGAGACAGAAAGATGAATGTACCACATTTTGATCTAAGTAGGGTCCTTTCCTTACAGATTGTATTTACTGTGTGTATATATTTGTGTATGTGTTCATGTGTGTGCATAGAAGACAGAGAGCGGCTTTGGATGGTCTCCTCAGTTACTGTGCACCTTATCTTTTGAGACAAGGTCTCACTGATGCTGAAGCTGACTCACACCTTGACTAGACTGGCAAGGCTGGGGATCCTCCTTTCTGTCTCCCCAGTGCTGGGATCATTGACATGAATCACCATGTCTGGCTTTTTGTATGTGTTCTGGAGAATCTGAGCTCAGGTCTTCATGCTCGTGGGACAAGTACTTTACTGACTACGCCGTCTCCCCAGCCCTTAGGAACCTCTCTTGATAAAGTATGCTGTCTTTAGTATTTCCCCCTTCTAAGTATACAGCAGTGCATCTATCGGTATGTATTCAATGGATTTGTGACAGAGTGGGCCCCAAGGGCAGCCCTCACAGGGTTTCATGACCCAATTTCTATCGGTGCCTAGCTGGGTAGCTTTGCTATAAGTTAACTACATATAAGATTAAGGGGAGAGGAATTTCAAGTATGTAGGTTTTAGGGTTAGATGGCAGTTCTGCATTGGTTTTTATTCACTTAGATCCTAACCTGATGAGTTAACTCCTTTGAGTCAGGTCTTGTAGAATGGGGTCATTGCAGAGGATTGTTGTAGACTATAAGACTTTAAAATGGAGACACCCTTCTTTATATTTAATATTTAATAAAGTCATCTTTTATATGTCTTGTGCTTAGGGTGGTACTTGGACACCTAAGTACTTATTAAATATTTTTAAAGAATTAAAATGAATTCTTGTGAAAATGAAATCAAACATTATTTTGCATTTGATTATTTTAATAAATCTTGCATTTTAAAGTAAAGAAAAAAACTTAGTATACTTCTTTTAAAATGGAGCGTTATGGAGGATTTCAGGATGCATAAACTTCTTGTATTGGCTGCCTATGTTAAATGTAAAGTGCCTGCTACTATTTAGGCTTTTAATAATGTAGAGGGCGTGCCCTCATTTCTCACTCAGCTGTGTCAGCATTGCTAGTCTGTTCTACAGACTACAACACTTCCTTGAATCTTCTTGGCTCCCAGGGGAAGAAAATGACATTTTCTAAAGATAGGCAGTATAAAGTAGTTATGACCATGGACTTGGGACTTGGAAGAGGATACCCTTCGGAGGCTCTGCTACCTACCAGCCTGGTTAAGAAGGGAAGGGGGTTCACCTGATCTCAGAGCCTGTTTTCTCATCTGTATAAAATGAAATCAGTCCTTTACCAACCCCACAGTCTTGGGCAGGCAAGACTTTCTTCATCTTACACAGATTGCCTCATTAGAGTTAGTGTCTGGCAAGTATTAGGAAGCATCGTATGTAAGCACGACCGGTAATTATAACATATATTATTTGGCAGAGATGGAAATTTCTCTTGTAAGTTGAATGTAGAGTCACACATTTCTAATCCCAACATTTAAAGACAGAGGCAGGAGGATCACTTCAAGTTCCAGCACAGGTTGGTCTATACAGCAAGGTTTAGGCTAACCAGGATTAAGACCCTGTTTCAAAAAAGCCAAACCAAAACAAAAACCAGAAAAGGAGTGAATTCTCTCCTAAAATCCATCTAGATTTGAACCCAGTTGTGTTTCCAGGTTGGACAGAGACCTTCCTGACAGCTTGCACTCTGTCATTGTTTGGACACATGATCTTTAATCTCATTTTTCTATCTGCTAACAAAATACACGATTCTCTGTGTACTGTTTCTTGATAGAACAGCTTGCCAGCTCTGGGTAGATTACTACCTCTCTGCAATCTCTGGAGTTATCATGAGACATATTCTGATTTTTGTGCTACTGGCATGGCTATTAACATTATAATGATTGTTTGACAAATCTCCAGTCCTATCAGACTGTGGTTTATTCTCAGTGAACTAATTGCACAGATGGCTTTCTCTTTTCTCCAAATCACATGAAATTTGGTGTTTATTTTGGCAATTCTGTACTGAGTTAAGTTTGCACAGTAATACAGATGATAAAATGATATGTATCAGGGCCATTCCTTCTTATGATATTTTATTCTCAGGGTTTATTCTGGCTACTCTGGGCAGTCAAACTGTTGTATACAAAACATGTTCTTTCATAGACCCCTAAATATTACAGATAGAGTTGGAAAGTGTACTTTCCTTCAACTAGTAGACTCCTCCTAACTCTATGATCACTTTAAGTTGGATTTCCTGAAATAGTTTTTTTTTTTGTTTCTTTTGAGATAGTTTCCGTATGTGACCTTGAACTCACTATGTAGCACTGGCTAATCTCAAACTTGGGCATCAACCTCTCAAGTGCTAAGATTAGGGCTTGTACCCCCACGCCCAACTGATTAGTTTTCATTATTAAACCATAAGACCTATTTTAAATTTTTATGCAATTTTAAATGCAATTACGTGGAGTTCCAGATTTATGTCCATCTACTCCCCCTTTAAAATTTTATTTTTACAAAATATGCACAACACACATTGTAGTCATTTTTAGAAAGAAATACTGTTCCAAGGCATTTGACTCTTGACCAGTAGTTTTCAACCTGAGGATTGAGACCTCTTTGGAGGTTAAACGACCCTTTCACAGGTGTTGTCTAAGACCTTCAGAAATATCAGATATTTACATTATGATTCATAACAGTAGCAAAATAACAGAGTAGCAACAGAAACTGTTTTGTGGTGGGAGGTCACCACATTATCAGGAACTGTATTTAATGGTCACGGCATTAGGAAGTTTGAGAACATTGTCTTTCTCTTCAGAAGCTCTACACTAGGGTTTTCTTTTTAATCATTTGTTCATCAAAAAGAGTAATCCAGGAACAGAATGTTTTAGGAAGGGTACCAGGTCATCTGTAAGTGTGAGTTTGAGTTTAGAACAGACTGCCAGTTTTCTTTTTGCATTGTATATGCTCAGTTACTACACATCCTCTCAAGGACTGGTATTTTCAAGTCTTTTAATTTTAGCTGTACTAGTGGGTGTGTGGTATGTTTCACTTTTCCTGGTGACTAATGATGTTGCAAATCTTCCCATGCATTTATTTTATATTCATGTATCTTTTTTGAAAAAGCATCTGTTACAATTCTTTTTTCATTTATAAAATCAAGTCCTTTTTCTTGTTGTAAAAATTATTTTATAACCTAGATGTGAAAACTTTATCATGTTTTATGGATTTTTTTTTAGTTTGTACTTTGAATTTTAATTTTTCTAACAGTGATTTTTTGAAGTAGAAGTAATTTAAAATATGATCAAGTCTGATTCAATTTTTTATTTAAAAATCATGCTCTAGTGTTTTTATAGCTTTAGTTTATTCACTTAGACTTATGACTCATTTTGAGTTAACTTTTGCATATGATGAGATAAATGTTGACCAGCAGGTTTTTTCATGTGTGACTGTCTAGTTATTATAGCAGCATTGTTGTAATGAGCGGCCTTCTCCTGCTCAATTACTTTGACACCTGTGTGAAAAGAAATGACTTGACTGGGTGTGTTTGTCGGGGGTGTGTGTGTTTATAGGTAGACGGGTTTCTCTAGGCTCTGTTTGCTTGT